AAAAATTATTATATAAAAAAAAGTCAAAGCATAATAATATGAAAATAAAGCCAATGTTTGTTTGAATTTGATAAACATTTTAAACTCTTACTCAGGCCATATGTTTAATGTACAGTCGAGTCCCGATAATTCGAAATGGCAAGGGTAGCAGTTTTTTCTTTCGATTGGCACAGAATTTCAAATGATCGAAAGTTATCGAGAATAGCTTTTTTTAAGGGGATAGAATCTTTTTTTGATATATCACGATTTTCGATTTAGCGGGGTACGAAATATCGAGACTCGACTGTGGTAATGTAACAAATTTTACAATTGGCATATTGAATAATAATATCAAATGATAATATAATTGGATATGTAAATTCATAATAATAAAATACATCCAATCCATATATACTTATATCAACTTCTCTCCCAATGGCTAAGTAGAATTTTGGCCAAATATTTAAGCATAGTATATCTCTAAGCTAAAATACACATAAGTTTTTTTGTAAAACTCATCCATAAATAACATCAATCGTAATTCTAAATTGAAAATCAAAAATCTCTTTTGCAGAAGCTGATTACACACTCGATGATTCGTTTTGGAACGAAGAAAGTCCAGTTGGTAAGCACATCCCGTTATTGTAATTATATTTCGAATTGTAGCTCGCTTATCTGTGCTCGAGCTTCCATTTATTAATATACCCTTCTGTATGCCCAATGTGCGCTCAGGTGAAGTGGAACGCTTGCTCAAAGAGTATAGACAAAATCAGGAGCTTGTGCGTCGTATTGGTGGACATTATTATCAAATTATCTATCCGGTACAGCTGCGTCATCACGAAAAGATGGGAATCTCCACACGTGAAGTTAGCCCTCCAAAGGTACGCAAAGATTTGCATAAGCGAAATACTAGAAAAATCGAATCAAACACAATGGTATGTTCATATTTGGTCTCATTCATTCATCATATTTGTTTGCTCCATTGTTTTTTCACAAACACTCACACACACACTCACTCTCTCACTCACACTCACATTAACCTCATTCTCCTACTCTCGTTAAGCTCGAACTTAACA